TCGCTTGCCTTTAACACGGTGTGATTTGTTTTGGTCCGGTCTGTTCTTTACTCTGTTGGCCATTTTAGTTAGCTTCTGCTGCTATTTGTATCTGTATTTCTAGTTTATGTTTTCCTGTCTGCTGTGCATGTTTGGTTCTTTTGTACAGCACTTTGGTTGGCCTTGTTGCTGTTTTAAGTGCTATATAAATAAATTGGTATGGTATGGTATGGTATGGTACACACAAAGGTGTACTTACGCCTCTCCGCGGTTCTTGTCTTTGATCCAGTGGTGCAGCGTGTTGGAGTTGAACTGCAGCGCCCCCTTCAGGCCTCCTTTGCATTGAATTTGCATGATGGTGAAGCTGTTTTTCACCACCTCGATCAGTCCCACACAGTCACCGATGGAGAGGCAGCCGTACGGCAGCATGCTGAAAAAAAAGACACCAGGTAAGTCAGGTGTGGAATGACATCACTCTTTCTTATGATGCAACCAGCTCTCACCGCAGGTCCAGTCCCTGATTTTGCCAGATGTTCTCCATGATCCGAATGATCTGCAGCGTCAGCATATCCTGACGCAGGTCTGCAACACAAATAACACACTGCATTACCCACAATGCTCAGCCAGTGCTGATAGCATGGTTAGCATTCTGCACTGAGACCAGAGTTGTGGTTAGCAGAGAGCTACCGCAATTTCCAGAATATTGAGAGCACCCAAATAGTAGCCGTGCCCACTAAATGAAAAAAAAACAAACCTGTACATATATAGGCTGTACTTGTCTATAAGCCGCGGGTGTCCACGTTGTAACATGAGATATTTACACAGAATTTTTTAAAAACTTTTAATTAAATACGTACTGGTAACTAGGGATGGGGCCGATCCGATCCAGTATGGGTATCGGCCTCCGATACCAGCATAATTTACGTATCGGATTTTCCGATCCACCTGCGGATATTTCCGATCCATGATGCATGTTGGCTTCAAATTACGGAATGGATTTCCTGAACGGCGGCATGTCTCATGAACCCAGAGTAATAAGACCCGCCCCACATTCAGGAAATCCAGTTCATAGTTTGCAGCCAGCTACAACGTGACGACAGAGTTAGCAGCACTGTGGTTAACAGCTAACAAACTTTTCATCTATACATGTCCGCTGTGTGGAAGTATTTTACACTAGAAACACCACAAAACAAGACAGCAACGTGCAATGTCTGCAGAGCCATAGCGCCACATTAAACCGCGGTAAAGTTAGTTTTACGATGGACATTCGAGCTCCGTGGCTTCAGCGGGGCGCTGCTCTTTGCTCATTCCAAAACAGGCGACTCGACTCTGGCCAGCCGCGTCCAATCAGCCCTGCTCAGTCTTCCCGTCTCTGAGGAGGGACAGACTGAGCGCGGCTGTCCCAAATCAGGCTGCTTGCTTCGGATTGAAGAAGAAGAAGACATCGCTGAAGCCACGGAGCTCAAATGTTTACAGATAAGTTGCTAAACTTCATAATTAATGACCCACCACTATTAGTTGTAGAAAACGAAGGATTTCACAGTTTGATACTTGCAGCCAAGATATAGTTTACCCTCCAGGAGATATTAATCAGTACAAACAGTAGACAATCATAAAAAAACATTATTTGAAAATTATATATATTAAAAACAAAAACAGCTACATTATAAAGTGATGTAAAATACTAAAAACAGGAACATGTCTGTTGGTTTATGCCATGAACTTAGCAGGTGTTTGAAGCCATTTAACATTTTATTTTATTTTATTCATTTATTCATTCATTCATTTAAAAGAAACAATTTTTTTTAAATCATCAAAAAGAAAACATTGAATGAAAAGAGTGCAGAAAGAAGAAAAACAATTCTTATATCTGCCCCTTATTAAAAAAAATATAAAATAACTTTAAACAATCACTTAAATCAATCACTTTAATATCCACTTTAAAACTAGGAATAAAAAGAAACATGTTTTGTGTTAGCAGAATTTAATTCTAACTTTAAAACTTATCCAACATTAATAAAACTTACCTCAAGTTGCCTTTTTGGACATGCATGCATATATTTGTACAAATTGTACTTGAGAGGAGATTATTACAGCCTCATATAAAACCAGTGATGATCATGATATCGGAACTGGATCGGTATCGGACGATACTTAGATTTAGGTACCGGGATCGGATCAGAAGTAAAAAAAGTGGATCGGTGCATCCCTACTGGTAACATACACAAATATGTACAGAAAATGTTTTTTCTAAATAGTGCCTGTAACAGACCTTAAAAATAATAAATACATAAATACAGTAGCCTGCCAGGAACGCCAAGTTGACGTGTAGCAGTTCTATTTCCTTCTTCGACAGCCAGATCGATCGCCTTTAACTTGAAAGCTGCATTTCTTCGTGTGTTTTCCATGATGAGGGTGTGTACATGAAGCGCAACATAACTGATCTGAAGAACTTAGTGTGAGAGCATTTGATAAACGGTAATTCAAAGTTTCATTGGTCCAATGTGACCTGTTCGGTAATTTCATTGGTCAGATTTTCTTTAACCTTTATTTATACGGGTAGTTTCAGTGAGTCACACGAGGACCCACCCCCCAAGAGAAATGTGTATTGGGCAGCTATGTGAGTGCCCAGGTGTGACAAAGCTACATGTTTTGGTGGCATGAAGGCCATTAGCCTGTCAAAAAAATTCTATAACTTAGCCGCAGCATTGTATAAGCTGCTGGGTTCAAAGCCTGTAACAAAAGAAGAGGCTTATAGTCTGGAAATTACAGTACTGTACTAATCCAAAAAAGTTCAATCTGGTCCTCTGGACATTCAAAAAAACAAAACAAAGCAAAAAAAATATAGAAATGTTTCGTCTCTCATCTGAGAGACTTCCTCAGTCTGAAGTGCTGTATTCAGCTCATTCTCTTAAATAGCACCTTCTCAGAGTGGATCAACCAGTTTGCTGCTGACAACCAAAACCAGCTGCTCACATGGTCAAGAAGGACCATTAGCCTAACAATGGATCATTAGCACACTGATGGCTGTTTACTATTCACAGGGGGTTGAGTGATACTAGCAATAACAGCATTGTAAGAGGGGGACAGTTGGACCCGGAGGCCTCCACCCCTGTTTAATGATGGACGATTTCTTTTCACAAAGATGGCCTCCTTTACTCCTCTCTCAAACCATCATTCCTCTCTGTCCAGGATGTGAACATCTTCATCCCTGAAAGAGTGACCGCTGACCTGGAGATGAGTGTAGACCGCAGAATCCTGGCCTGATGATGTTGATCTTCTGTGCTGGGTCATCCTTTTGGCCAGTGGGTATTTAGTTTCCCCGATGTAAGACAGATCACAGCCCTCCCGACACTGAACAGCATACACAATATTACTCTGTTTGTGCCGGGGGACTGGATCTTTGGGATGAACCAGTCTTTGCCGTAATGTATTTTGGGGTTTAAAAGCCACTGGGACGTTATGTTTAGAAAATAAACGTCTCAGTTTCGATGATACTCCCTCAACATATGGAATGACCACTGGTCTGGGTCTGGGTTCCTCCTTTTCACCTGATGGCTGACTGGAGTCCTGTTTGGGTTTCTTCTCTGCTTTCAAGAAGGCCCAGTTAGGATATCCACATTGCTCTAGAGCCTGTCTTGTGTAGGATTTCTCCTTCTGCCTGGCTCCTGACTTAGTGGGGATGCTGTCTGCTCTGTGATACAGAGTCCTGATGACTCCTAACTTGTGCTCCAAAGGGTGTTGGGAGTCAAACTGCAAATACTGGTCTGTGTGGGTGGGTTTGCGGTACACCTCGGTTTGCAAATGTCTTCTATCAGAGACTGAGACCTCACAGTCCAAGAAAGCCAACCTGCCATTTTTTACATATTCTCGTGTGAACTTGATGTATTTATCCACAGAGTTTATGTGGTCAGTAAAATGTTGGACTTCCTGAGATTTAATTTTAACCCAGGTGTCATCAGCATACCTGAACCAATGACTTGGTGGTGTCCCTGAAAAGGACGTCAAGGCTCTCTTTTCTACCTCCTCCATGTACAGGTTGGCAACAATAGGAGAAACTGGAGACCACATAGCACACCCATGTTTCTGCCTATAATATTGCTCCCCATATGTGAAGTAGGTTGATTGCAGGCACAGGTTCAGTAGTTGACACAGTTGTTCTGTGGAAAGCGTGGTCCTGCTGCTCAGAGTGGTGTCTGATTTTAATCTTAAACTGACCACCTCTACTGCATCATCAACAGGAATGCACGTAAAGAGTGATGTGACATCAAAAGAGACCATTGTTTCATCAGTCTCCATGATGACATCCCTCACCTTATCCACAAAGTCCATGGTGTTCTGTATGTGGTGTTCTGAGCTGCCAACTAAAGGGATGAGTACAGATGCCAGATATTTGGAAACATTGTAAGTGACAGAGTTAATCATGCTAACAATTGGTCTTAAAGGCACACCTTGTTTGTGGATTTTAGGTCAATCATACAGACTAGGTGTGGCCTTCCCTGGGTACAGTCTGTGGTACAGAATACGGTCAATAGCCTTGTCCTGCTCCAAATTTTTCAGGTTATCTATTAACTTCTTCTTGTAACCACTTCCTGGATCTCTTTTCAGAGGTTCATAAGTGTTTAAGTCACTAAGGAGTGTCATAACTTTCTCATGATAGTCTGTCTGGTTCAAAATCACTGTGCACCTTCCTTTGTCTGCTGGGAGAATGATGATGTTTTTGTCCTTGCTAAGAGTGGTGAGTGCATCCCTCTCCTCTCTACTGATGTTGGAAGGTGGTGGTTTGGCATTGCTGAGGCAGGATGAAACTTTGATTCTGAGCTGTTCTGCTTCATCCTCTTTCATTTTGTTGTTGCGGATGGCTGATTCTGTGGCTGTGATCATCTCTACCAGAGGAAGTCTACTTGGTTTAACTGCAAAGTTCAGTCCCCTGGCAAGAATCTCTGTCTCCGGCTGGGTGAGCTGTCTGTCAGATAAATTCTTCACCCACTTTTCTGTCTCCCTGGCATGTAATTGACTACTGGAGTGTTGTCCTACACTGAATGTGTTGTTAATGGAATAGTGATGGTGTTGGTGAGTTATTAGTAAGTTAAACTTGTTTTGCTGTCGAGTCTTGGACTTGACATGCTGTGCTAAGCGTGCCTGATCTGTACAGTCCAACACTTGTTGAAGTGTGGTCTGATCTAGACACATTGTTAGTTTCTGTTTAATGTGCTCTTCTTTGGCCTTCAAGGCCTCAATAGTAAAATTGGTCTGTCTCACCCATTCATTCAGCAGCTGGGTCTGTACCTTCTGAAGGATCTTGCTTGCCCGGTGCCCGCTGACCGATGATTTTAGTTCCAGGCTCTTGGGAATGATGCCACTTTGTCGACATCTGAGGTTGAATTGCAAGTGGTTCCTGTAGTCTGCCCTCTTCCTTGCTGTTTTCTCAAACTCTCTTACTAGTTTGAGGCAATCCTGGCCAAAGTGGTTCAAAATATCCTGATGCATGCTCAATAATCCAGATAGAAAAATCCAAAAAAGTTCAATCTGGTCCTCTGGACATTCAAAAAAACAAAAAACAAAACAAAGCAAAAAAATATAGAAACGTTTCGTCTCTCATCCGAGAGACTTCCTCAGTCTGAGGTGCTGTATTCAGCTCAGTCTCTTAAATAGCACCTTCTCAGAATGGATCAACCAGTTTGCTGCTGACAACCAAAACCAGCTGCTCACATGGTCAAGAAGGAGCGCCAGCCTAAAATTGGATCATTAGCACACTGATGGCTGTTTACTATTCACAGGGGGTTGAGTGACACTAGCAATAACAGCATTGTAAGAGGGGGACAGTTGGACCCGGAGGCCTCCACCCCTGTTTAATGATGGACGATTTCTTTTCACAAAGATGGCTTTTAAACCCCAAAATACATTACGGCAAAGACTGGTTCATCCCAAAGATCCAGTCCCCCGGCACAAACAGAGTAATATTGTGTATGCTGTTCAGTGTCAGGAGGGCTTTGATCAGTCTTACATCGGGGAAACTAAACAGCCACTGGCCAAAAGGA